AGGACACCGGCCAACAGCGGGACCACTAACCAGTAACAAAAGATACAGGCAGGGCAATGCTATTATGGCACGTAAGAAAATTTTCCATTGGAACGATAACGGGAAAAGGAAATCACAATCGTAAATTGGGACATCGTCTCATTTAGAGGGAAAGAATAGGAGCTTGTTCATGAGACTAACCAAACAGCTGCACTCTCATCAACGACGTACAAGGGTTATGGAATGAAATTCTGATCCTCTGCAACTTGAAGCTGCTTTATGGAGATGCCCACGCCACGACAGGTGCTCAAACCGATTTTGGTACTCTGTTAGAACTCATCGTGGCTGATGAAATCGTTAAACAGAGTATGTCAGCGGAAAAGTTGACTTACAAGCGTGAAAGCTTTCTCTGTGCTACAGTTCTACCGCCCAACTCATAGCAAGAGTTCGAGTCCTTCCATGATTAAGTAGCGCTGCGATATGCGATGAGATCTGTGCTAAGTGCCGACAAGAGAATTGTGATTTATTAAGATATTAAGATGTATATATGCCGTGGACGACTGAGAACGATGCTTGTCGACATAACAAAGAAACTGAAAAATAAACTTATTTTACGTGGCGATCAGAGATGTGATCTCCGTAGTTTAAACTTTTGAAGTTAAGCAAGACTGATATCTATTTTTAGCGATTCAACTTAGGCGCACCTCACCTAGTACGTCCCCGGGTTGCGGATAGGGGAACCACCTCCGCCATATGGAAGGTAGCTGTGCTGAATAAGCAGCAGTGGACAGGCAGCAGTGGACACAACCATGGCATGGCTTCGAACGAATGCGACAGATTTACCGGTTATAAAATGGCAAACATACCCCCAATGACATTTTCATGATGAGGGGACAATAACCCGCCAGTAATAAGGTCAGTAATGCCATCACTATCTTGGGATTAAACTTTTAATGATCAAAGATTATTCGAGACCGCATTGGCCATAAACCAGAAGGCAGTTGAGAGTTCGTCAGTATCAACCAACCCCAAGGAACTGCACGAAAATAAGACAAACATCGTCGTGTCGCAAACGGCTGAATCAAACAGCATGGAAATGTAAAATGTATTTATGAGAATACATATTGGAGGATCGCTTTTCAGAGATAAAATTTCACGGTGTAGAAACTGGCCCAGCTACTTTTATTTGTTAAGGGAGCTATTCAATGAGGCCATAGCTTCATAGGAATAAATCGTCAGGAGTATTAGGCACACCTTACATCATTTTGTTCCCTACATCAACTATATGTTCGCAGCGGACCATTTCGTAAGTTGGTAATCCTAATGAGCGACAGCTTAAATACTGAACATTAGTTTGTAGGTCGTTGGATGTTGATCAGCGATGAATCCTTCAAAACCAGATTACTTGTTAGCGGTAAGAAAACACTTCGTGTTCTTGTTAAATTTTAATTAATTCACTGAATAAACACTGCATTAAACTGATGAGCAGGAACGAAAAAGAACACAAAAAATACAACAACGTCATCCGTTACCTTCTAGATTGGCTTCGCTGCACACTCGAGTATAGTTAATGAGCGCAGCGTTTTCTAGGCACCTGTTGATAACCGAGCGAACTTCCTGAGGAGACGCCGACGTTGCCACGTCCTTCATAAGCACCTAAACAGGTGATAAATAGAAGACACACATCAGATGATTACTTCTCATTCTCTGCGGCGAAAGTGAAACATCACTCACCCTTTCTAGAAGGGACAGCGTCGCCTTCAGGGCACCATCCGGGCGGTCAAAAGGAAAACAGCGTCTAGAAACACAGCGCTGATGAAAATAATTTGTGGAAATTGGAAAAAATAAATATTACAAAAAGTTCGTTATTTGCTTCTCCAGCAAAGCTCGCAGCCGCACCTTGACGTGGTCGAATTTTTCGCGCTCTTTGACCGTTACCGTTCCAACCCCGTCAGGTCTGAAATTCAAAGAGTCAGACAAAGCATACATACTCGAACAGAACACCTATTACTACACATTGCCATAAAGGCTAGATAATAGGCAAAATGTGTGGTTATTTGTATGCCCTGGATATGAATACGTGCAGAGCAGTGAGCTTGAAAAAAGGGTGGAGAAGAAGCGGACTATTTGCAAATTTCACTTCCAATGAAAACAGATATAAAGACGTATCCTGCTACTGGACAAAAGTAATTAACAGACCAACTAGTATCAGCTAAAAGCTGCCGGCTTATCTTTGTAGCAACTGCTGGGTAGATCAGGATTTTATACTGAATTTATCGTTTCGATATGGTTTCCGTGAACTTGTATAAGATTTTAAAGCTAACAAAAATAATCCTTTGTATCGTACGTAGAGTCAGTTCCATTTAAGAGGATGCATACGCTCCTGTTTGCTACTAGCATTTGCTTATACCATAATCATCTTCAGCATATTTGCAATGCAACAGGCTGCTTCGCACATGCTTGTGATGTCCGCTGATTTGTACTTATTGCGTTTTTATGTTAAGAGCTTATAACTGCTGTTGTTATCGACAATAGATCTGTTTAGTTTCCTCCGCCATGCGATGACGACCACTGATCTTTTGCAGTCCAGTCTTTGGGTTCCCACTTCAGCAGCTGACAAATCGGCGCAGCTTGCAGAATGATTCAGCTGCCTGATTAAGTTGTAATTCCCTAGTCGTTTGCGTCGAAACGCAACGTGCACTTAAGATCTTCAGGCAGCACCACAAATTGAAGTTCCTTGTGTCAACCAATCGGCTTTAAAGAGTAGAAGATAGCCGATCGCCAGCGCATCTGGTATTAGCTGTTATGCACTGATAAATTCGCAGAGGCGCGACAGCCTCAGGTCAGGTCGTTGCACATGTTCAGGTTGTGTTGCTGTACCTTTTTCGCTCTTCCCTGCATTTTCAATTACCGTGCATAACGTTTAATCAAGATGCTGGTTTGCTGCTTCATAGACCATGATGTTGAAGACAAACACGGTTGCAAACGTTAAAATACTGAAGCCCGAACACACTCGTAAATAATGCCCGGCATCACCAGAGTCAGAACCACATGTCGATCAGAGGTCAACGCTGCTTCAAAGCAGTAGCGGACTGCCCTCCACGCTGGTACCCCAAACATGCACAACTACAGCCAATTGGGGCCAGGCAATGAAAAAATGACTCCGACAAAGAAGCGATCGCTTTGCAACATTATCATGTAAAAATGCACTGTTCTTGGAGACCGAATAAATATCACCGAAAAAAATGAATGTCTGACGTGAGCTTCAGGGGACAATAAAATAAATGCAACTTGAATCAATAGCAACTCCGTTATATCAGCTAACTGACTGATTGACTGATTGATTGAACACATTCTGAAATTTTAATGCATGCATACAATTTGACAAAGAATACATGGGTCATAGGCAAAACGTTTAAATTCAAATATCAGGGATTTCGAAGGAGAAAAACAACGGCAACGGACAGCTACGATACGAAACGCGTTGAATCACTACAAGCGTAAAATAAATAATGATAAATAAAAATAAAGCAGGGTGAGTCAAAGGCACGCGGGAGGTACAATGTAAGAAACTGTACTTTATTGAAGAGGAAGAAGCAGCTTTGTGGCTCTCAAACTTTACATCCTCCCTAAAAACACAGTCGTCAGCAGATTAGCGGCAACCGTCTAAAACAGAATCATGAAACTATAACAGTCAAATACCCGAAACTGAACTGCTCCCGGACACTGAACTACTCGTAACGATTTATCATTAGAAC